ATTTATATGAATCTAATAAAAACTCAATTTTCAAAAAATTGTAAAAAAGAGCTGTTTTAATAGATAACACCCCATATTGGCACGGTCTCGTCACAGACTACAGCTGTTGCTACAATACGGCTTCATTGATTTGAATCGATTACTATGAAGATGCTTAGAGGCATCATATATTTGTTCGTTTTACATGTGTTGTCATTAATAACAATATCATAGAATCGAGCCCAAAGACTTTTTTGTTCAGGTGACATCCAAAAGACCTTAGAAAGCCTATTATCTATATCCTCGAAGTCAATCTTGAAATACCAATCAGGGTCGTCTTGTTGTAACTTTAGAAGATATTCGTACAAGGTTATGGCATCATTTTTGGTTTGGGCGTCAGTTCTAAACTTGCTTATTATGTTATAAAAGTCTCGATTATAAATTTCTTGATTGGGAAATTTATTTCTTAATATTCGCTTTAAAATATTTGCACCCAACTGGCATTCCTGGACATAAAACTGAACCTCATCCCTTATTTGTTTAAGTATTTTTCGTAATGATGGAGAGAATTGTTGAAGTAATTTGCTATCATTTAAAGTATGATTGTGTTTTTTCAATAAATTTGTTGACAAAGACTAGATTTGAGTATTTCTGATAGGATGTATTTAATACAAAGCTGCAATCTACACAAGCTGATTTCCGCTCTCGATTTTTTGTAGGGTCCAACACCTTCTTAGCCAAGTATTTACCTCCATGTCGAACATTTATATATTTTTCGTACACAAATATCGTTTTCTTTTTCAACTCGCACTATCTTAGTTTCAAAACTAATCCGAATCAAATAACGTTTTAGACATTGCTCAAGTACTTCAAATGAAGTGAAAGTCTGATCCGTATATATCTCTTTTAGGGGACTATCTTCAAGCTCATTTTCAGAATCACCATCTTCGAACACATCAGTTTTATTAATATCGTCAATTATAGATAAGTTGCTGGTAACATATTCGTCAGAAAGTAAAGCAAAATCAATATTGCTTTCAGGATCAAAGTGAGAATAAATTTCGTAATTCATATGATACTTTTCAGAGTAGTGGGCATTATAATTTGCTATTTGATGTAGTTATGTGATTATGAATTTATTTGTGCATTGATTGTTTGAA